CCACCAAAGGTGTGTGTGTGTGTGTGTGTGTGTGTGTGTGTGTGTGTGTGTGTATCAAAGGGTGATAAATGGTAAAAAACATGGTTTTTCTTTAAATGGATTCATAATGATATGTCGTGACTTCATGTAAACACTCCAATAGAGCTCTTTTGATGGCACTTCAATGTAGTCAGGAAAAAACACGCAGAAAGAACCCCATGCCTTCACAGCACTGGCGTTCATTCCTTTAACACTGACACTCCAGAAAGACATCCCGAAAATACCAGAGACTTGGTCTTCAAAAAAGGAAAGGGGGGGGGGGGCTGAAGATGGGAGACACAAGAGATGCCTGTGCCATCTATGAACACTCCGATTTTTCCACTTTTTCTCTTCCAGACACTATCACCTCTTGGGTGGTGATCTTTATTCTGCCCATCAACAGTGCTTTGAACCCAATCATCTACACTTTGACCACCAGACCTTTCAAGGAAATGATCTATCAGCTCTGGTACAATTACAGACAAAGAAGGTCTGTGGACAGAAAGGAGACTCCAAAGGCATTCGCTCCCTCATTCATCTGGGTGGAAATGTGGCCCGTGCAAGAGATGCCCGCTGAATTCATGAAGCCAGCGGTTTTCACAGACCCCTGCAATCTGTCACTGGTTTCTCAGTCATCTAGACTCAATTCTTATTCATAACTGGTTCTGGGAACCCTTTCTTCTCAGAGAATACTGTGAAGTGCGTCTGGAAGGACTTGCTGATATGAAGTAAAATGCCATAAAATGTATAACTTATGGTTAAGACAAGTTCGCTAACAGTGACGCAAGGCAGGGAAAGGTAACTGGTGTTCATACAAAGAGAAGCAGCTTACTGACAACGTGTGCATGGATACTCGTATACATTTGCATAGGAAACGAAGGGGACTCTTTTTCTAGCATGCGTTTATGCACACTGCATGGAGGTAAAGTGCTGGACACACACAATATAAAGCCTCTTTAATCTACGTATTGTGTTTAACTGCTAACTACACAAATCCTACCCACAGCTCCTAGATTTCTCTGCTGTGCGTATCAGCAAGCGTGAAGCCCATAGACATTTTAAAACTGAGGACAAAAGCTTTATGGTACTCAGAAATTATAGCATCAGATACAATGTGTGGAGCCACGGAGGCGCTCAGGGGATAAAAGTGATTACTTTACAAACGTGCTGACCTGAGCTCAATATCCGGATCCCATGTCAAGCTGGAAGGAGAGATAGACTCTGAAAAATTGACCTCTAAGCTCCACCTGTGTGACATAGCATGTGTGTGCACATGTGCACATCACGTACACGCAAATTATTAATACGGTTGTATGCAAAGCAGAAACATTCTATCTAAAAATCCTCTGTATCGTTCGTTCTCTGAGTCTCCATGCTTGAGAGTCAACACAATGTATTTATTCAAAGGAAGCTTTGCTGCCAGGTGTGGTGGACAAACCCGTGATCCTCACGGTAGAGAGGAGGAGCACAAGTTCAAGGCCAGCCTCAGAAGCCTAGAAAGACCCTGCCTCTGACGTGCAAAAGTAGAGCCTGGGAGAGGGCTCAATCGCTAACGTGCTTGCTGCACACACACGGGGACCTGAGTTTGAATGTGGTAGAGCATACCTAAAATCCCAGTGCTGGGGAGGCAGGATCCCCAAGGCTTGTTGATCAGCTATTGGGAAGACACCTAATGTCCGCCTGACTTCCACACAAGTGTGCTCGCCCATATGCACATACATACAGACACCACAGATGTACCCAGAGATAAAGGAGCCAGGCAAGCTTTGTTATCAATTCAGAACCAGCAGTTTTGTCTCTCCCTAGCCACTTTTCTTTTGGCTTTTCTTTACGTGAGCACCATAGTGAAGAAACAGGACAGTAGGTGGGAATATTGTAGAGGGGTGAGGCAGAAAAGGGAAAATGAGGCGTTTAAATCAATGAGACCCAATTCCGAGTCCAGGAGTAAACCTTCATGTTTCCATCAACTGATTGTTTAAAAGGGTAACAAGTATAACCAAAATAAATTAAATCAGGAAGATATAAGCAACTCACATACACAGCCAGCCAACAACACTCTAAAGAAAAGCTCCTCAACTGTTCCTCAGACAGGAAGTGAAGGCACACCAGCAAACTCACTCCAGGAGCCCAGCACAGCCCTGCCCCAAACCAGAGAAAAGCACAACAAATAAAAACTACCTGGCAAACATAGACACAAAGATTCTCAGTAAACACCCGCAAGTCAAAGCCAAGAACAGACTGGGGAAAATCATGCACCTTCACCAAGTTTGTTTGATCCAAGGATGCAAGTTTGTTGGTCCAATACACACAAATCAATAAATCTACTATAACACACAAGCAGAAAAGGGCAGATCTCACATGATTATTTCAAGATATGCATAAAAAAAGGCCTTTGACAAAATTCAACACCCTTCGTGATAAAAACCCTATAGAAACTAAGAGTAGAGGAATAAATGCCAATGTAATAAAGGTTATAGAAAACAAAGCTTTAGCTGACTAAATTAAGTGGGAAATGAATGAAAGAATTTCCTTGGGGCTGGAGAGATGGATCAGAGGTTAAGAGCATTGCCTGCTCTTCCAAAGGTTCTGAGTTCAGTTCCCAGCAACCACATGGTGGCTCACAACCATCTGTAATGGGGTCTGGTGCCCTCTTCTGGCCTGCAGGCATACACACAGACAGAATATTGTATACATAATAAATAAATAAATATTTAAAAAGAAAAGAATTTCCTCTACAGCAGGGAATGAGATAAGAGTGTCTATCAGGGACCATACAAGTGTCATGGATGGCAGGAAAACCACCTGCCTGAGGTAAAGAGGGAAACTCGAGGCAGCACCAATTTTTCAGGCACTGGAACAAAACTTCCAGAGTATACCTTGTGGTTTATTTTTTTTACACACTTAGGCACAGTAAAACTTTGGAAAGAGGTTTCCATGTGACGATTATCACAATAAAGCTAGAGGCACAGGTTCATAGACTACCTAGCAAAGTGGGAAACACCTGTGACCTTTGCAATGTGTTCTATTGACTGGTAAAGAGTGCTGAGGCTAGGGCCTGAGGAGGAAGCACTTCTCATGAGCATAAGCAATAATCTAATGGTTTCTATTGGAGGAGGATACAAAGTACATAGGCCCTGTTCTAGTCACTGAGACACAAAGCTCAGGATTAAAACCTAAACAATGCCCAGGATTTGGAGGGATTCAGGTAGACTGACTCCACAGAATAGCAAAAATATCGCCAGGTAGTCAAGACAACATCCACTCCAGCCGTCCAGGTGACCAAGTGCCAATCATGTTCTTCCTTTGAAGAAAACAGGCCCGTGTGTTTAACAGTTCTGGTTCCTCCAATGCGTTCTGTAAGCTGTGCTTCCTACAAGTGCCCGCTTACATAATTCTTACTCAAGACACTGTTCAAAATCTTAGCTTGAGAAAGAATAAAAAGAAACACAATGAACACAAACATGTGATCTACATGTTATTGTAGATAACATAAAGCTACACTTTAAAGACCCTAAAAAGATTGCACCAGAAAGCTCCTGGATCTCAACATTTTCTATATAGTGTTTCTAATAGAAATACCATGTGACCTAGCTAATCAGTTTATGGGTGTACACCCTCTGTGTTAACAGACCCCTGAGACGCCTATTTATTGTTAATTCTGTTCACAAAAAAAAGGAAAGAAAAAAGAGAAAGAGCCTTGATGTTCATTGTAAAAAAAAAAAAAGAGAATTTACGTACTAAAAAATTTAGTAGCCTTCCTATATATCAATAAGAAACTTTATTTGAATTGAAGCAAGTTCATCGTGGGTACATAGAAATACTTCTGGTTTGGGATTCATTTTGCATTCTATCTGTTAGCGTGGAAATCTCCAGTTACGTCCAATTTTCTGAAAATGCCATTTTCTTTTTCTTGATGACTGAATAAAGTTCCATTATGTGTATGTTAAATGAAATAAGCCAGACTCAAATGGTAAATAGTATGTTTCTCTCACATGAGTGTGCATGTGTGTGTGTGTGTGTGGATACGTATGTGAAATGAAATTACAAAAGGAACCGCGAGAGGGAAGACATATTGAGTAAGGGACAGGGAAGAGAGTTGGGGAAGAAGGAGTAGGATTTTGTGGAGTTAGGGGCACAAAGGCTCGCAGTGTGGGGAAGAAATGAGGACAAGTGTACGTGTGTGTGAAGATGCCATCTATACTCATTATTTGGCATGGGAACCTTAAAGTAACTTCCAAAGCTCTTAGAAGAAAACACAGTGTAATTCTCTGAGATTTTTGGATTGTGTAATGGATTCTGAATGATGCAAAAAAAAAAAAAATGAAAACAACAAAAGAAGAGAAACGGCTTTATTGCAGTTCAGACTTTGGACACAAGGAGGTGAACTGGTTGGGAGAACACTGAACCCTTGCTACTTTTCCCGAGGACCCAAATTTCACTCCAGGTACTCTCATTGGTCCAGAGGATTTGATCTTATGGCTTCCTTGGACATGGCACTCATGTGAGCAATCTCTCTCTCTCTCTCTCTCTCTCTCTCTCTCTCTCTCTCTCTCTCAATAAAAAAATGCATTGCAGCTGGATCTTAATGGAGGTGTTTTCTCAACCGAGGTTCCCTCCTTTCATGGGGACACAGCCTAGCCAGCACATAGGGAAAATATAAAAACACAAAGCATCCAGAAGGCCCTCAGTTCTCAGAATGACATGGGGTAGCAGGGGATACAAGTAAGCAATTATTTAAATCATATAATCACAAAGTAACAAACAATGAACACTTCTAAGGCTGTGGCTGTAGGAAGAAAGACAAGGGGATGGGTATATGAGGTAGCAAAACACATTTCCAGTGGTTCTAACATTGGGGAGGAGGGAGTGGGGGGGGTACTGAAAAAAATGCAAATATTATCTCTGCATGGTAGGAATGCATGGAAATTATTTAAATCATTCACCTTTTCTGAATGGCTGAGCTACCTCAGAAAGTTTTAAATAAATGACCAAGGAAACAGAAATTTACTTGTAACTCATTTATTTTTATACATTTTTAAACTGCAATTTTCAGATTACAATTCGTATTTCTCTTATACGGGAACAAGCATCTCTTTGGTACAGAAATCACACCATACGTGTTGTGTGATCTTAACTAAAAGACAAACAAACAAAAAAATTAACTATGACTGTGTCAAAACTAGTCTTTGCCCATCCGTTTGTCCCCTACCACAGCTCACTGTGAGACTTTAGAATACAGTTCTGTTCACATAGACATATCTACAGAGACACCACATAAAAGATACTTAAAGCTCCTATGCATCAAGGTGTACACGGCTTGAAGAAAGACGGCACGAATTACATAAAATACAGTACAGGTAAATTCAAACCCAACAGCAAGGGCAACTGATCTGAAATGCATTGAAACAGTTAAATGGATACACTGGAAACAAACTAACTTTAAAATAATGCAAATAACTTGCAAAGCTCTATTAATAGCACACGGCCATAAATTTGGTAGCGTATTTCAAAGATAACCATCAGACATATAGAACACTAATAATAAGAAAGATATTAGCTATAAAAGCAGCTGACTATAAAAATAAATAGACCAAAGTATGTAGTCTATTAAAAAGTTTTCATTTTATGAAGTAAAAGCTTTTTAAAAATAGGATCATAGAATGGGAAAATATTTTTAAAATATCTTTAAAAGTCATCATCAAGACTCAGCCCCCCCAGTCAGGGTATGGGGCTGCCTACAGGACTCCTGCCTGCCGTTGAAGAGCCTGAGACAGAAGCCTGGTCTCAAGACAGAAGAGCACTCAGATTCCCACAAAATAGACAGAATTTTTTCTTCAAGCCAATAAGTTTAGACTCAGGTGGTTTTCATAGAGAAACAATTAGTCTTCAACCTAGAAATCAGGAGCAAAAGCGCTTCTGGTGACACTCATCGAGTCTCAGTCCCAGGCACTGAGGGCTGTGTGATGTGGCTTTGGGTACTGACAAGGAAAGAAGGCGCCATCACTGGTCCCATGGAGCTGGACCACCACCTGAAGTCTTCATCGGCTGCCTTCGGGGACAAAACGACTCCAAACTCAGTCATTTTGGGAATCTTCTCGAAAAACAAATAATGGCCTGGTTGCACTGGGGCACTAAGACAGCCAACTATTTACTGATGAAATTAGCTTTCATAAAGGAGTCTACAAAAGCTTAGAGGGCAGAAAGTATTTAAGGTAAACACTGTCATAAGAGAGAAAACAAACAAAATGGCCTTCAGTATTCTGCTTTCTCAAAGTCAAGAATCCCAAGAAAACTCTCCATCTCGGCATGTCTGGAGACTGGCAGCCTCATAAACGTGGTCCATGTGCAAATATCTTACGGGTGAGTCATTCGTTACCCGACCGCATCTGCAAGTCAGTTGTCGGGTTTCAAGGAATCATAGCCTTCTTTCAGGAGGTCCCGCCACGTTTTCAGGAAACGTGCATTTTCTGTACACTTCAAGGCAAGCTCCTCCACCTGGGCTGATACCGCAGATGTGGCTTCGAGAAGTTTCGTTAATGAAAATGCCGCCTGCAATTTAAAGAAAGGAAAGTCAAGCGGGTTTGTTTGTGGTCCCGGGGACAAAGCAAGCTCAGCTCCACCACTGGGCTACACCCCAAACCCCACACGTGCTTATTTTTTAGATTCTCATCTAACGTCACAGTTTAAAAATAGCTTAAGTCAGCCAATCAAATGACGTGTTCTTCTTTTAAAAACAAAACAAAACGAATTTTCAAATAAAAACACCGCTTCTTTCTTGAACCCAAAGCGTCAGGGCACAGTAGGCACAAAGCTCTACCCCTGAGCTACACTACTTGGAAACCCCTTGGCATCTAAAGGACTTGCCCATAAGCCACTCCCGCTAATAATTAGGTAACAAAAGCACTGTCCCACTGATCTGTGAACACTTTTTTTTTTTGGACTACACAAAGAAAAGTGTGAAATCAAAGACTGACATTCTGAAAACATCTAAAATCACACACACACACAGCTATGAAAAACTCCCTTTTAAAACAAATGTTTTCTCCACCAGAGATACAAAATAGCACTTTTTTTTTTTTTGGATATGACTTCGGTACTTAGTCTACACATTTACTTGTAACCAGTATTGTTTAGCAAAAAAGAAATAAATCCTGGACCAGCACTTCAGTCATCTATGAAAAAGGAAGGTTATCGGCCACATACTTCATTCTGCTCTACCTCTCCAGAGTCCCTAGAAAGTGAAACTGACACCCTCCAACCCCCTCAGCGCCGTGCCTGTTGAGGTCAGGTGGTGATGTCTGGGAATTCGGGACCGAACAAAAACTTTCCAACATGTTTGCATTACAGGAATCGGTGAAGCATCCTGCCAATGGTCTCCGCGGAGCCCTGATCCGCTCAACTCCAGCACAGAACCAGCCTGCGACACACAATAACATCACCAGCTGGCACTGGGCTGGTGGCCAACGAGAAGAGCAAGAGATTACCACTGGGCAGGCAGGGAGGCTAGGGGCGCCCAAAAAGCACTCCGAGAGCTGCGAGGAGGAGAGCGGATCCCGGTGGTGGGGACCACAGCAGGAGGGGAAGGGGAAGCCAAGGTGCGCGGGCGGGAGCACCCTGGCAGCTTTGCTAGCAGCTCCCGGGGCGGGCAACACTCACGTCCCCGATCTGCAGCTCCACTTGCTCCAGGGGGTCCACCGCTGCGGCGTGGCTCCGGCTCGGACTCCGCCAGCCCAAACGCACTGGCATGCTGAGGGACGACGAAGAGGCGCCTGAAGACGGAGACGAGGGAGGCGGCGGCGGCGGCGAAGCCCGAATCTCCTCGGGGTCAGCCATGGGGCCGGCCGGGGCCGCACCGAGCAACCGAACCCGCACCAACCGCCTTTCAACAGCTCGCGCCCAAAGCCCGCAGGCTCCGCCTCCTCCCCCTCGGGGTCCCGCCCCATCTTCGCTTAGGTCTCCACCCGGGACCACACCACGGGCGGGCTCACAGGACGCTGGGGCCGAACACTACAACTCCCAGAAGGCCGAGCGACTCATTCCCGGCTTTGTTGTCGCTGCGCCTGCGCGCAGCGGGGAAGAGGGTGGGGCTTGTGGGCCTCTTCCGCAGACTCGGTTCCTGCATGAGGAGGATGGCTGGGAGATGGAGTCTTCTGCCTTTTCCCTGCTTGTGCGGGACCCAGAAACCTTATTGGCCGTCGGGTCCTCGTAGCGCCGGCGCAAAGCAGAAGAGGGGCGGGCACGCCGCGGAGCACGGGCGCTCGGCACAGCCCACAGAGGCTGACTTCAGCGAGGCAGTCGGGGCTTCCTGGCAGGTGATGGCGCCCCCCGTGGCCTAGAAGTCCAGCGCCCTCGGCCCGCCGCCGCAGACAGGCCTCTCTCTCCGTTGTGTCTTGGGCAAGTCTCCGGGCTCCTTGGAACATGTTGGTGCGGCTAGCCAAGCTGTCGTGCCCTGGTGAGACAGAATTCCTGGTGGGGACAGGTGGAGCAAGGTGGATAAGTTGGGGCGAAGGAGACGGGGCCATACCTGGGGTGCTGCGAGCGCCTCTCTCCTTTTCTTAGGCTAAACTAGGGCAAAGGTCAATGCTTTCAGCGCCTTTTGGTGGACCCTGACTTCCGACCTTGACGTTGCCCCAGTTGGCAGAATTAACAACTGGGCTAAAAGTCATGAGCGGAGGAGACTTGTCAACACAACTCCCACGGTCCTAATCTTTATCCCAGGGCTCAGGTGTTATCTGCTGCCTTATTAGGCATGGGGGAAAAAAAGGAAGCAAAACTTGTGTGGGATTTCTCCTTGACTCTGACCAGACTTTCGTCTTCGTAGCCATTCTGGTCCGGTCTTCGTGTGAAGTCTGAGCTGTCATATCGTGTTATGTGCTGCCCCTGTCACCGATTATGTCTGGAGCCTCAACATTTTCTGCGTGCTCAGTTAACTCCAGACGCTCTGTGATGGGTGCTTCTTAAACCAGTTGGATGATATTTTTAAAGTTTTACCTTAAAACAACCCCTAATGAAAACTGAAGTTTAGAGGATCGTGAATTCTGATGTAACTGACTTAATAGAAAGCTTTACTGAAGTTACGATTTGGCTGCGGAATTTGTAAACAAGTATGCATGTTGTAAATTCAAACCAAGTATCTCTTACACACAGGGTATGTTCCGTTTTGGGAGCCATCGTTGTATCAGATCTTGTCCCCCTTTACAGCCTAGTTTAGCTACCATCAGTCTTGAGTTCAGTCAGTGTCTTTTCTTTGGATGCTAATTTGTTAGGTTATCATAACCCAGCGTGAGCTCTAGTGACGTGAGTGTGCAATGTGTATGGCTGTGTTGTTCAGTGGACTCTGTGACTTTGTTTCCCCACCGTAACTCAGCCTCTATGTTCTATGTCCACATGCCTCATGAGAGAGGCCAGGCTCGTCTGAGCAAAGGAGTAAAGGTTATGCCTTTTTTAAATTCCCTGGTGGAAATCAGAGGTCATGCATGGTTCCAGCTGTTCTCAAGCAAATCAGTAGCTGAACAAATAACAGAATTAAAGTCTGTCATATTCCACTCAGCTTGCAGAAGTAAATGAGAACTTGTATATGCTACACTCCAGTGTATAGTACCCTTTTTAAATGGTAGTATGTTTGAGCTCAACCTAAATTCGTATATAATATTTATAGTTTTCTTGCTTTTAAGATTTGGAGTACGTGAAGATTTAATCTTGGTCTTAATAAAGTATTCCCAATATAGATTTTATACTTACTTATTTATTTTGGCTTTTTGAAACAACATTTGTCTACTTGTTCTGCAGACCAGCCTGGCCTCAGAGTCACAGAAATCCACCTGCCTCTGCCTTCCAAGTGCTATGATTGAAGGCGTGTGTCACCACCACCCAGTAATGTTGTGACTTTTAGTGTGCATCACAAGTAGAGAAAATGGGTTTCCCTGCCACTTGAAAGTTATCAGAAGCCAATGTATAGACAGCACTTAAAAGACGTTAGGCTTCTGCTCCAAATGCTTTCTCCCCCTCCATCCACCGTAACGTTTAGCCACATACTACTTTAATAACTACTTTGTTGAAAAATATTAAAATATATTAACCATGCAGTTGTTACTAAAAAATAAAATTAGCTTATGTCAAGTTGATTTTGTTTAAACAGGCCTTTTTTTTCTATTTAATTAGAAGAAAAGAAAAATTGACCACAGCCTCAGGTTCCATTACTTCAGAGATCAATTACTAGTCTCAGAGTTGGACGGTTATTGGAAAAGACTATCTGGATTTCTCCCTGTCTGCCTTAAATAGGGATTGTAGCTACTCCACATATCTCAGGAAGTTCTGAGGGATAAGATCTGATGGGTTTGTTTTGTTCGGAGTGGGTTCTCCTGTATTACAGGCTGGTTATGATCTCATTACGTAGCCGAGGATGACCTTGAATTTCTGGTCCTCCCAGCGAGCATCACCACTCCTAGTTCACGTAGTGCCGGAGATGCTCTCTCTCCTGAGTCACAGCCAGCCAAGACGTAGTGTTTAAATGGAAAGTTCTTAACCATTCATTGTGTCCTAGAAAGTATAAACTGTGTACTCAAAATTAAATTCTTTGTCTTTACTGTTTACTTTTTATAGTCCATATATAAAAGTTTCTTCATTTGACATAGTCCAAGGTAGAAAGGGCCAGAATTTACTATTTTGCCAGAAATTAAACAGACCTTCATAGGCTTCTAAATATCCAACCGTTGAAATTGTTCCTAGGAAGGTCCTGATCCAGTGAGCACACAGGTATTCCTTGTTTTTTGAAATGGAGTCTATGGTCAACCAAAACTCTCTCTGTGTAGACCAGCAGGCCTGGTAGTCACAGAGATCGGCCTGCCTCTGCCTCCAAATCCTGGGATTAAAGACATGTGCCACCAAACCCATCTAAATAGTTGTAGCTCTTGTATCTACTTCCGTTCTCACTCTATTCTTTATTTAAGTTTTTACTTTGAACCTGGTTTCGGCTTTCAGAAGAACTGTAGAGCCAATATAGAGTTCCCGTGCGCCTTTTCCTGAGACTAACAGCTTACATAATCATGGTGATTACCGAGACGAAGAAGTTAACATTGATGAAATGTTACTACATGACAACGTTATTCCGATCCCCGTTTTTCTGGTCCAGGATCTAGTTCCCGTTGCTTTTAGTTAGCATACCTTCATCTGTTTAAATGAGACAGTTCCTCTGCTTGTCTTTCGTGACCTTGATTTTTTTAATGTATATTTGTCAAGCATTTTATTGAATGCCTCTCAGTCTAAAGTTTCTTGGTGGTTTCTCATGATTTCCTGACTAGATGGAGGTGTAAGGACTGTGAGGGTGTGTACCGTACAGGTAAAGACTCTCTCATTATATCCTATCAATGGCATGTGCTATCTGCGTGTGGCTGTAACATTTAAATGATGTTTGGTCACATAATTCAAATTATATTTACTGACGTTTTTTCTACTATAAAGTTTTTTTTCTCTCTTCTAGTTTACTATTTACTAGAAACTAGTTAAATCCAGTCCACACTCATGGGAAAGAATCAAAAAATGTAGGGTATATTCTCACAGTCTTTTTAGTACTTTGAGTTTCTCTCTAAAACAGTGTTTGATTAAAGCTTAGTATAGTGCTGTTCACCTTTAACCCCAGCCCTTGGGAGGCAGGTGGACCTTTGTAGTTCAAACCCAGCGTCATCTATATAACAATTCCACATAAGCCCGGGCTGTAGAATGAGACCGTTTCTCAAAAACAAGCGTGCACACACACAGACAAAACATTTACTGAATCGAATTCGTTTTGACATAAAGAAGAGGGTATGTGTTTTTTCCAAATGTTTTTCTGTCTGTTTTTGTGCCATTTGATGGGTAACCATCTCCCCTGTATGTATTCAGTCTCTGGGTCATTCATTTTATTACACTATTTCTTACTTGTTTTAAAAGATTTGAGAATGTTGCATCATGACCAAAAGCTAGCTGTGTAATTCACCTGAGAAAGAGCATGCTCCATTTCCATGTGTGTCATTCATTAGGAACAGCTGTTCTGCTTAGAGTCCTTTTCATTCTATGACAGGTGAAGACTAATTTTAAAGAAGATATTGTTCATAATTTTTATGCAGTGTACCAGTGCTTTCATGCCTTAAAAATTAAGAAAAAGTGCCTACCTCTCTGTGCTACAAGATGGTCTTCAACGTCTGTCGTGCCTCAGATTACCACCCACTACACTGTTCACCCCCGGGAGAAAGACAAACGGTGGGAAGGTATGTGACGACTTTCATAGAGTTCTCGAGGCTTTCCCACATACTTTGTATTAGCTTGTTGCTCTGAATATTTTAGTTTTCATGATAATTTAAAAGCATTCACTATATCTCATGGCTTCATCAAATGTATTACGTATTACTAGTTAGATAAATAAAAAACTTGGTTTTGCTCATTTGTTTCTTTCTAAGAAAGGTGCTTCATGTAGTGGTCTGGCCTTGAGCTCCTGGTTCTCCTGCTCTTACCTTCCAAGTATTGAGATTATGAGTGTGCACCACCATGCCTTACAAATTTATTTTTAAAATAAATATTTTTTATGTGCATTGGTATTTTGCCATGGGTGTCTGGTCCCCTGGAACTGAAGTTAAAGACAGTTGTGAGCTGCCATGTGGGTGCTGGAAATTGAACCCAGGTCCTCTGGAAGAGCAATCAGTGCTCTTAACCCGCTGAGCCATCTCTCCAGCTCATAAATTTATAAGAATGGATTTCAAAGCCAAAACTTGGTTTATGGGAACCAGAGTAAGATAGACACTGAAATAGAACCTAAGAGAACGTGAAATTCATCAAATAATATGTTTACTATAATTATTATGCATAGCCCAGAGAGAATATCTCTATAAATTATACTCTGAAGCATTGTAGCATACTAAAATACATATTCAAGTATCCAGTACCAGCATACGACTTATGTGGTTATCAGGTCGTATTAATCCAAGAATTGTTGTTCGTTTTTAACATGTTTCCTCCAGGAGTGAACATGGAGAGGTTTGCGGAGGAAGCAGATGTGGTAATAGTTGGCGCCGGCCCTGCAGGGCTCTCTGCGGCTATCCGTCTGAAGCAGCTGGCTGCTGAGCATGGGAAGGACATCCGTGTGTGCCTGGTGGAGAAGGCCGCTCAGATAGGAGCGCATACGCTCTCGGGGGCCTGCCTTGATCCAGTTGCTTTCAACGAGCTCTTCCCAGACTGGAAGGAGAAGGGGGTAGGACAAGTTGATCTTACACAAGGTCTAATCTTTCCTGTCCTCTGTAAGAGCAACAAGTGCTCTTAACCACTGAGCCACCTTCCAACACCTGATAATCTAATTTTCTAAAGAAATAATTAAACTCAGCAGAAAATGCTATAGGTGTGATATGCAGAGGACTCAGTGCTAAGTTCCATTGCTCTCAAAATTAGTTTAAAACTGATTAAAATCTTACATTCAACGTTTTCTTTTATAGGATGTTATAAATGTTCTGCTTCCAAAGTTAGACTATTTGTGAATATTCTTTTTTTTTTAATGTGCATTAGTGTTTGGCCTATATGTATGTCTGTGCGAGGGTATCAGATCCCCTGGAACTGGAGTTACAGACAGTTGTGAGCTGCCATGTGGGAACTGGGAATTGAAACAGTGTCCTCTGGAAGAGCAGCCAGTGCTCTTAACTGCTGAGCCATCTCTCCACCCTTGAGAATACTCTTTTGGTTTTTTTGTTGTTGGTGGTCTTTGTTTGTTTGGTTTTTTGAGACAGGGTTTCTCTGTAGCTTTGGAGCCTGTCCTGGAACTAGCTCTGTAGATCAGGCCGTCCTCGAACTCACAGAGATCCATCTGCCTCTGCCTCCCAAGTGCTGGAATTAAAGGCATGCGCCACCACCATCCACCCAGTGAATACTCTCAATAAAGGTAAAATAAGTATATGAATATCATTTGTACTCATTTTTTATGGAATAAGCTAAAATCTGAAACTTTCCTTTGTGTTCTCTTTCCCAAAACACACACAAACACACACACACAAAAGTATTTTAACACAAAAACACTTTAAAGGAATTAATTCTCTTCAGTATATCAGAAACCAGGTATCATTGAATTGGTACAGTGTCAGTTCTATTGTCAAAGCTACACACACACACACACACACACACACACACACACACACACACACGGTGTCAGTGATCTGTCAGTAAACATGTTAATTGTCTGTATCACCCAGAAGGATAACTTTTCTATTCTGTTTTTCAACAAGGCAGGCAGTTTCAGTTGGAGCCGGGCAAGCAGGCTGTGCTCCACAGAGACAGGGAACGTGGTGGTGGCACAGCTCACACAGGTCTCCGGAGCGTCCAGGAATAGTCGCTAGGACAAAACTAGCAAGAGGTGTGGGTTGGCTTTCAGGGTTTCTGTCTCAAGGCTGGAGAGATGGCTCAGCACCTTAGAGCACTGCTTGCTTTTCCAGAGGATCAAGATTCAGTTCCCAACACCCAGTGTGGCAGCTTACAGCTGCCTGTAACTCCAGTTCCAGGAGCTCCAAAGCCACCTTCTGGCCTCTGTGGGCTCTCGGCACACAAATGGCACACAGCCTTACATATAGGCAAAACACCCACACACTAAAAAAAGAAAAAAGATTTCTGTTTCAAAGGGACATAAAAAGAAGATTTGATCACTTAAGACTGAAAAAAGGAAAGAGGAAGACAGGAGTCCCTTTCCCCTTCTCTCTTTAAGGAGCTTTTAAAAATGTGTGCGTTCACCCGCACAAACATAACTAAACACTTCCTTCCTCTTTTCATCTGTTCCTAGGCTCCACTTAACACTCCTGTAACGGAAGACAGATTTGCCATTTTGACAGAGAAACACAGAATCCCCGTGCCCATCCTTCCAGGTAGAGTACGGCAGCCACGGAGCAGGGACTTGCTCAGCTGAGAGCAGCCGCACCTCAGTGGGGAAGTGGAGCCCAGAGAGAGTGAGTAAGGAGACAGCCAGACTAGGAGCAGGTCTGTGTCGTCTAGTCTAGAAGAGCCTTGTAAGCCAGCCAGGAAGTTTAATTCTAGGCTTTACTACTCATTTTATCTTAATAGACTACAACTTTCAACCAAATAAATAACATGTATTAAATAACATGTTGCTGTGACCATAAAGATAATGCAGCAGTACACACTGGTTAGATTTTTTAATTAATTATATTATTTAGATACCTTAGCAATTAATTGTCAGGTTCTAAATTACATAAATATTTGCAGGTCTTCCGATGAACAATCATGGCAATTACATTGTACGCCTAGGACATCTAGTGAGCTGGATGGGGGAGCAGGCAGAGGCTCTTGGAGTTGAAGTGTACCCTGGATATGCTGCTGCTGAGGTCTGTATAATTTTGTTTTTAATATTTATAGAAGCAATATCTTCTTATTTTAAAAGTTAAGTAATAATTTTATGGAAGTAATTTTTTTAAAAAAATTATAAGATTTTAGAATTTCAGGATTGGGGAAAATAACTAAAATGTTATAATCCAAAGAGGAGTTGAATTTCTTACATTGCCCTCATCATGTGATTGAACACCACGGGGATAGGACTCCCTCAGTGTGGAGTCTTGGTCATCTTACTTACTCAGTGAAATAATCTGCTCTGTGTGTGTTACAGGATAAGTCTGTGCCCTCTCCCAAGGGCACCCTTGTGTTTCTGCTCTTCTTCCCACCTTACTCACCAGGAGGTTTCTGTTTGCAAGGCTATGGAATCTGATTACCTTCAAAGTGCTGCTGCCCTCTAATACACACATTCCTGTCCACCCTTTTTAATACCTGTAGTGGTACTGTGTGTGTACACGTGCATGTATACATACACACCCCTATGAGGAATAAGCTCGTTCAAGCCTTGTGTAGATTACTCTTCATTCTGGAAACGTCTTCTGTTAGTTCTCACAAAGCAACACTTTTGGGTAACCATTTCAAACTTTGACCCCCATCAATAAAATTTGAAAACCCAGAAGAATCTTCATAACTTGTAAAAAATGACTTAGATCAATTTAGTATTGAATGAGCATTAAATCAAGAACACTGCTGTTGTCACAGGCATCTGGGCATGATGGTGCATGCTCTTAATCCCAGCACTCAGGAAGCAGAGAAAAGCACATCTCTGCGAATTTGAGGCTAGCCTGGTCTATACAGCAAGTTTAAAGCTAACCAAGGCTACATAATGAGACCCTGCTTCAAAAACAGAAAGGAGGGGACTGAAAAAAGAGGGTGGCTCATAGGCAGTTTGGATGCTCACCTTACTAGACCTGGAAGGAGGTGGGAGGTCCTTGGACTTCCCACAGGGCAGGGAACCCTGACTGCTCTTCGGGCTGATGAGGGAGGGGAATTTGATTGGGGGAGGGGGAGGGAAATTGTGGGCGGTGGCGGGGAGGAGACAGAAATCTTTAATAAATAATTAATAAAATAAAATAAAGAGGGTGGCTCAGCAGTTAAAAGCACTGGCTGATCTCCAGAAGATCGAGGTATAGATCCAAGCACCTACATGCTAGCACACACAACTGTCTGTAACTTTAGTCCAGGACATCTGCCACCCTCTTCTGACTTGGCTATCCAGAGAGCATTTTCCTCTACAGGAAACAGAATTAGGAGGTAAGAATTGTATAGTTTCTTGTCTTCACGATTGTACTTTTTACCTCCCGGCTGCCTTCTTGCTTCAAAAATAAACTGCAGTCACCATCATTTCGAATATGTCCAAGTGTGAATACTGAGGTGATAGTAATTTTCTTTAATCATTTTTAGGTCCTTTATCATGAAGATGGGAGTGTAAAAGGAATTGCCACTAATGATGTAGGAATACAAAAGGATGGCGCACCAAAGGTATACCTTTTAATAGTCACATACTTAAAAAGAAGAAGCAGGGGGGCTGGAGAGGTGGACCAGCAGTTAGGGACACTGGCTGCTCTTCCAGACACCCAGGTTCAATTCCCAGCACCCACATGGCAGCTCACACTTGTCTGTTAACTCCAGTTCCAGGAGATCTGACACCATCAACCAGACTTACATGCAAGCAAAACAGCAGCACACATAAAATAAAAAATAAAGTTAAAGAAAAGAACAGGGCAGGGTGGTATATTTGCAGTTCTCAGCTTGAGAGGCTGAGGCTGAAGGTCAAGACCCTTTCTCAGAAAACAAAACAACAACAGCAAAAAAACCACCAACCAACTCAAACTCAATATTTAGGTTTTCTTATAAACAACACAACATGTGGAGTTTAAATATAATTCATTATAGTGGGTTTTTTGTAGTTGATAAAAAATAGAAGCAAGTCAGTTCAACACAAATATGCCATGTTTAAGGGTAATTTCTACTTCTAATAGTTCTGTTAGTTTTCTTTCTGGTATATAAGTCTACTATGTCTTGTGTACCTAAACCATTATTTAACTTTTTTAATGCATCAAAATATTGTTACTTTAATGTATTTTTGCTTTTCAGACAACATTTGAGAGGGGACTAGAACTACATGCCAAAGTCACAGTCTTTGCAGAGGGTTGCCATGGACACCTAGCCAAGCAGCTCTATAAGAAGTTTGACCTGAGGGCCAGCTGTGAACCCCAGACTTATGGAATTGGTTTGAAGGAGGTATCCTGGTTTGCTTGTACACTTTTAATTTTTTTGAAGATTTATTTATTTATTATATATACAGTGTTCTGTCTGCATGTATGCCTGCAGGCTGGAAGAGGGCAGTGCTAGGGATTAAACTCAGGGCCTTGAATATGTTAAGTAAACATTCTACATTCTACTGCTGAGCTATATCCCAAGCTAATTTAAGAATTTAAGCCAGGCATGGAGGTATAGATCTGTACTTAGTACTTGGAAGGATGGGGCAGAAGGATTGAAAAGCTTCAGATATATAGCAAAGCTCAGTCTAAATAAGTAAGTAAAAAATTTGTGTGTGTGTGTGTGTGTGTGTGTGTGTGTGTGTGTGTGTGTGTGTCCAGACAAGGTCTCACTATGTAGTTGGGCTGGCCTGGAACTAGCTATGTAGACCAATAGACCCAACTGATCTTGAATTTATAGAAATCTGCCTCCCTCCCAAATGCTGGGATTAAAGGCTTGCACCACACCCAGCATATGCATGCATTTGTAAGGGGCTAGAAATGTCATAGGGCGCTCACCTAACACGTAAATGAGCCTGTTCAAGTTCAGTCTCCAGCACTGCAAACATGAAATACCCTGCATTATTCTGTGCCATAAGCATCTGCAGTGGCCAGTTTCATTGCATGGCCACTGCAGTGGGACAGACAGACAGATCTGAACTGAGTACTCTCTTCTTGTCCTCTCAGCAGTGGGCACACCCAAGTAGCCGGTACTCAGAGATGGCTTCTTCACTATCTTTTCTGTAATCCCACAAAAGAAATTCTTAATTTGAGGTTCTAATGTCTTGAACTGTTCATAACTTTTACGACCCAGTTCTTTGTCCTGGATTAACATGTTACCATTTGATTGTAATTTTCCTTGATGTACAAAATCATTTTTTCCTGCTTTCATGTAATGCCGTCAGACTTGTTGGGTTTGTTTTTGCTTTTAGTTATGGATTATTGATGAGAAGAAGTGGAAACCTGGCAGAGTAGACCACACTGTCGGCTGGCCCTTGGACAGACACACTTACGGAGGCTCTTTCCTTTATCATTTAAATGAAGGTGAACCTCTAGTAGCTCTTGGTCTTGTGGTAAGTTTTCTCCTTACTGCAAAAGATTTTGCCAGAGTTAGAGTGACTTGTGTGCACCAGGGTTTTAAACCTGGAAAATACTTTTCCATTAAAAAGCTGACTTTTTAATTTATCTGCATGTAAAATGTCTATGGCTACTGTAGACATGCAACTTACTCAACTAAAATACTAGTAGCTACTACACTCTGGGCACTGTTCTAGAAGCCATCCTGTGCTATGAAATAGATCCTTATGCCAGTAAGAAAATCAAAATCTGAGCAAATTAAACTAGTTTACCCAAAGGCCACAGTAGCACCTGCCTCATTATTGTCTATTACTGTGAAGAGACACCACGACCAAGGCAACTCTTACTAAAGAAAGCATCTCATTGGGGGCTTGCTCACAGTTTCAGAGGGCTAACCATGTTCATCAGTGGTGCTGGAGCAGTAGCTGAGAGCTTTACATCCTGATCCAAGCCAGAGAGAGACAGACTGGGTCTAGTCTGGGCCTTTAACCACACCAAGACCATCCCCAGGGGCACACCTCCTCCAACAAGACCACACCTCGTAATCCTTCCCAGATAGTTCAACTAACTGGTGAAGCAAGCATTCAATACCTGAACCTATGGAGGGTCATTCTCATTCAGTCCAGCACAGTGACGGAGACAGGATTCATGCCTGATGCTGACTTTAAAACCCACTCCCATTACGACATGCTGCCACGGAAAATAAAATTGGCCCTCGTGAACCTACTACTTTAAGAGTAATCACAGGAGTTTCCTCTTCCATTACTATAGCAGTAAGTTATATCTTGAACATTCTGAAAAATGCGAACTAGACAGTTTCTCCACCTTGTAGCTGAGAGCAGCATGGTGCACTGCCATGACCCTACTTCCACTGACACATGACTAGATTAATGCACTCTCAGTGCTCGGTCCTCAGGTCTCAGTGTCACTCTGTGAGACCCTGTACCTCATCCTGCTGTATTTCTGAATACAAGCTACATCCCTTCTCTTCAGTTTTGCCCTAGTAATAGTGTAACGTAATTACAGTCTTGACAAGTTGGTATTGTTCTATTACCAGTAATAAGTAATCACAACTCCATTTGTGGACACTTATTTAAAATGGGTTTTTTTTCTCCTTAATACGAACTTGGATTTCCAGAGTACAATGGTTTGTTAATGTCATCTTAACTGTTAATGTTTTGCTGCTTAGGAACAATTATCTTTTTGTTCACTTTCTTTTCCTCAGTTTTAGAGTTTACCTGTTTGCATTTTGGTTTTGGTTTAAGGTGGGTCTCGACTATCAGAATCCATATCTGAGTCCATTCAGAGAGTTCCAGAGGTGGAAGCACCACCCCAGCATCCAGCCCACACTGGAAGGTGGGAAGAGGATCGCCTATGGAGCCCGGGCACTCAATGAAGGTGGCTTGCAGGTAGATCCCAGCACTTACTTGTATTTTGTAAATTACTTAGCCAGTTAAAAACAATATTTATTTTATAGGATGAAAATTTATTTAAGGAATTTAACAAAATACTGTTTATAAAATTATGTGTGAACACACTAATTAAATTACACCATGAATTTAGTTTCAAGAATGTTGAGAGGCTAGGCGGTGGTGGCGCACACCTTTAATCCCAGCACTTGGGAGGCAGAAGCAGGTAGATCTTTGTGAGTTCGAGACCAACCTGGTCTACAAGAGCTAGTTCTAGGACAGGCTCCAAAGCTACAGAGAAACCCTGTCTCAGAAAAAAAAAAAAAAAAAAAGAACATTTGTTCTAGCTGAGGACTCAGGCTCAGTGCTCGGTACCCACATGACAGCTCACAGTGTCCCCAACTCCAGTTCCAGGGCATCTGGCACCCTCTTCTGACCTCAGACACAGAAAAAGAAAAGAACATATTGACTTCATTGCGTGTAGTGGTACATGCCTTTAACCTCAGCACTTGGTTAGTGTTGTAGATGAGCTTCAACAAACTTACCAGGGTAGGTGCATGGGATTAGAAAAGCTAGTCAAGAGTACAAAGACACAGTGAAAACAATGAAACAGAAAACATAGGATAGTACTGGATTTTGAGGAGTTACCAAGCTTGACAGCCAGCTTTATCCACTCAGCAATCTGGGCATGGTCCTTCTGATTCCCTCTGCCCTCCCTCAGGTTTTGCTTCTTGCTTTAGGATTGTACCATTGGTGGGAACTGTGGCCACAGACCGTTCCCCAGGTCTCCTTTACAGCTGATGCCAAGCTTTGTGAGGCAGTCAGCACATCAAACTCTTACCACTCCACCACCTTGCCAACAAAGGCTGTCTAAGGCTGATTTAGAAAGCCCCTAAAGAAACACTGCAAATGAAGAACCACCTGCATTGGCTTACTTCCTTTTCAAACTAGAGCATATGTTCCCATGCAGTCTTTTTTTTTTTTTTTTTTTGGCTCCTATTCCTTAGACAATATACTTTTATTGGCTAAATTGAAAAAATATGATACTTTTATTACACTGGTGATTTTATCAGAAATTGAAAGTTCAGTTTGTTAAGCTAATAAAACTTGTTTGGTTATTGTAATATCATTAGAGCATGTCAGAATAAATAAAAATAGGTGGAATTTTTTCCAAAATATATGTAAAGGAAGTTATAATTTGTCAACCAAATTTAGAAAATCTTTTAACTGTGACAGATACATATAAATAAAAACATGTCATTTCGAATATATTTTGATAATTCTGTCCCGTAGGAATAAAAATGAGATAGGAAAAAAAGTAGAAAAATGGCCCTAGTCCTAATCCTACACTGCCCTGGCTGTCTCCTTCCTCGTACATTCCTTTTCATGCCGTGCTCACTGGTCTTTCTCCTGCAGCTTTAGGTCTGGGATGTGTGTTGGTTTTGCCTCATTTGAACTGACATGTGTTTTGGATCTTCTTTTCAGTCTATTCCAAAACTCACTTTTCCCGGTGGCTTACTAATTGGTTGTAGCCCTGGCTTCATGAATGTTCCCAAGATCAAAGGTACCCACACAGCAATGAAAAGTGGAAGTTTGGCAGCAGAATCAATTTTTAATCAACTAAATAGTGAAAATCTCCAATCAAAGACAGCAGGTGAGGAACTCTTCCCATAGTGAAGAAACACTACTACAGTCAGAATTTTATAACTGTCATTTTTATTCACATCAGAGGTACAGGACCAATGATTGTCTCTTCAGATCCGTTGCTACTACATCTGCACTGCATATATGGAATGACTCAAAAGATGTCACACAAACATCAGTAGGCTAGAAACAGAGCATCACTAAACAGGGCAAAATCAGCCACCCATCCTTAGCAAACCTGCAAGCATAATCACATGACTCTGTTGTGGCAGAGAACAGACATTACCACCACCATAAATCACTAAGAGGCCATCTAACTAGGCATCCATCAATCAAAGGAGAGACAGGCAGATTCCGATGAGTTCCAGGCCAACCAAAGCTATGCTGTGAGACCCTATTTCTAAATCAGTTAATTAAAAAAAAAAAAGTCTCTTGTTCGGAAATCTAATTTTCCCTTTCATTTTATTTCCTTTTTTAAAAAAAAATATTTAATATATATACAATGTTCCTCCTCCATTATCCCTAAGGCCAGAAGAGGGCACCAGACCTCATTACAGATGGTTATGAGTCATCATGTGGTTGCTGGGAATTGAACTCAGGACCTATGAAGAGCAGCCAGTGCACTTAACGTCTGAGCCATCTCTCTAGCCCCCCCCTTCTTTTTGTTTGTAAATTATTGTGTGTGCGTGTGTGTGTGTGTGCTACTGTACATATGTGGAGGTCAGAGAACTTAATTTTTTTTTTTTTTTTTACTATTGTTTACTTGTATGTGTAAGTATATTCACATGAGTGCAAGTTCCTGCAGAGGCTAGAGGAGTCAGACCCTTCTGGAGCCGGGAGTACAAGCAGTTGTGAGCCACCTGATGTGCATGCTGGGAATTGCACTTAGGTCCCCTATCTTCCTAACTGCACATCATCTCTCTAGCTCACTGTCAGAAGACTTGGGGAAGTCAGTTCTTACACGTCTATGTAGGTTCCAGGACTTGAACTCCAGTCCTTATGCTTGTTTGGCAAGTGCTTTTACTGACTGAGCCATCTTACTGTTGTCAAAGAAGCCTCCCAAGGAACTGTGATCACATGAAGTATTGCCAGTGGAGCAGCTCCATGTGGTCAGCTGGAGGGTTTGTTGTTCTACCACTAAGCTGCTGACTTCATGTCTACAGCCCCGTGTTCCAGCCACTGTCTCATGGCAGTTCCTGACCATGCCGTGCACGCTCTCATCTTCACATGGTTTCTGCCTGTTCACGTAGCACTCTCAGAGAGCTTCTCTAAGTCTAACAATTGGATACACATACACACAGCCCTGCTACCCTGAACTGCCCATCATCATGTGCCATCATTGACACATTATATATTTGGCTTATCTACTGCCCCAAAAGAAATTTTTTTGTATCTACTGTCTCCTGTCAAAAACTCCAACAAAGACTTTTGTTCATTTTTAGTTCTAACACTTGGCATATGGTAGCAACCCAACAAGTATTTCATAAATAAACCTAGTCCTTAGAATCACAGATAACCAATGTTCCTTTACTAAGAAATAGCAACTCAGAGACTCAGGGTGTGGCTCAAATGGTTGAGGGAGTGCCTGGCATAAACAAGACCCTAGGTTTTATTGGTCCCTAGCACTGAAAAAAAACAAAGTACAACTTGGTTATGCCTTCAGGTATCTAAGAATAAAGGTCTAGCACATGGGCTTGGTAAGCAGTGAGACCGCAAAAGGCAAGAGAACAGGTGAGATGGAATGCAGCAGGCGGCAGAACTTTCTCTTAATTTTCTCCAAGTGCTGTTCCTTGTGGAACCACCAGCCATACTCTCCAGCTGTTGTCTACACAGTACCAGATAATCCGGGAACTTAGCATTAGAATAAGGAGGAAAACCCCTCGAAAATTATAACAGAAAACTATTAACCAGAGTGTAACCACTTTGTAGTTTGTGCAAGTCAGTTAAGACTCAACTGTAGGGCTGGAGATGGCTTAGAGGTTAAGAGCATATACCTACGCACACAAGTAAACAATAGTAAAAAAAAAATTAAGTTCTCTGACCTCCACATATGTACAGTAGCATACACACACACACACACAATAATTAAAAAAAAAAAAAGAGCCCCCAGTTAATTGTCTACGGTCATCCCATTACAGTCAGCCAGCCACTAGGGCTGAGGCAGAAGATATTCTTGCAGGGAATGATTCCACTTACAATAGATGTTTCAAAAATGGTTTCGTATTTTTTTTTAATTTATGTCTGCAAATAGTCTGAACCTGCATTGTTTCCCTTTTCAAACTAATTCTTTATGCTTCCAGTATAAAAATTAAGGTCAAAGTTTTATAGCCCAGTGGTAGGATATTCGCCTACAGTCCCAGTGCCACCCAAAGGGTATAGAGTATCTTGTTGGAAGATGCCAGCATGTGTGATTCTGCATGGATCCACATAGCCATGTTTCTAAAAACTAAGACTCACCATCTATGTTTTACTTAATATTTCTTATTTTTCCTAAAAGGACTTCATGTAACTGAGTATGAAGAGAATTTGAAGAAATCTTGGGTATGGAAAGAGCTACATGCTGTTAGGAATATAAGGCCATCCTGCCATGGGATACTGGGAGTATATGGAGGGATGATTTACACTGGAATATTTTACTGGATATTAAGAGGAATGGAGCCATGGACTCTAAAACATAAAGGTAATTCAAATATAATTAATGCCAGTGTTGATCTTAAGCACCTTTATACTGAAAAAGGGTATGTGTGGAGGGTGTGTTCATTAGTAGAGCATATGTAAGTTTTGGTAGTGTTAGGGTTGGCCCTGAGGCTCTCACTAAGCTGTGTCTGTACTGTCATGATATTTAAACTTGCTTTGTCAGCGATATGGTAAATAAGGGGGGGCAGCATTTTGCGACAGGATCAAAAGTAACACAGATGACATCAAATTTTCTTCACAAAGGGTGATGTAAAACTATTTCTCCTGCCTCTACCTAAGTGCTGGGCCATACCCATCGTAAACTCAGTATCTTTAAAAGGCAAAATAGCCTAGACTGAGGTCTTTTCTTTGGTATGACGGTAGCTCCAAGTTGTTCTCATACTCTACTTGAGGCCAGGCATAGGCAGGAGGTAAAGGCAAGAAGGTAAGTTCAAAGCCAGTCTGAACTAAGTAACAAGATTGTTTCATTGACAGACTGAGAATGAAATTCAGTGGTAAGAGAATATTAGTATGCATGGGCCCTGGTCTGGTTGAATCACCAGCACTGAAAAAGACAAAGTACTGGAAAATTATGTCATTAACCATCTTCCTCAAAATTGCTTAAGGTTCCGATTCTGATCGGCTCAAACCAGCTAAGGATTGTACACCCATTGAGTATCCAAAACCCGATGGACAGATCAGTTTTGACCTCTTATCATCTGTGGCTCTGAGCGGTACTAATCATGAACACGATCAGCCAGCACACTTAACCTTAAAGGACGACAGCATACCGGTCAATAGAAATCTGTCCGTCTATGACGGGCCCGAGCAGCGATTCTGCCCTGCAGGTCAGTGAGTTTCCTTCTCTTCCTAAACATGAACAGATTTCCATTTGAAGATGTTCCTTTTCCATTCTGCATTGCAAAACACTTCTATGTTCAGCATCCTTAAGGAAACTCTGACTAGAAGAGTAGGGATTCTGGTTAAGACTAGTTTGGGTGACCCATCATCTCAAACAGCCTTCGTGTCTACCTTTAGACAAAAGGATTATAGAAAACAAACACAAAATACCTGTTCTGTTTGTACATGTGTACACATTACGGCCACACTGAGTTCAATGACTGACACTAAATTTAAATTCATCAGATGCTGAATCTCTTATGTGCTAAGAGCTTTCAGTTCAAATGAGAACCAGAGCTAAATAATATGGTAGAATAAACAGCACTTGGATATATGAAAATTAGTGTATGCTCAAGTGAGATTAGAAGGTAAGCAAAAGTATTCAAGAATGAGTTGTTGACTTTTAAAGTTTTACTGTACTATAAACTCTCAGAGAAAAGGACCAGGGCTCATTTGTTAACTCTTGTTAGACTAACCAGGCAATAGTGCTGTACTTGCACTATGTGTTTAGAAGTGGTAAGTTTACTAGGATATTAATAGCAGCAACATACACCAAGACCAGATAGTCTCTGTGGGGAAACACGAAAGCCTCAAAGGCTTCTAAACTTGTTCTAAGATTTTAATTTCCACTCACTGTCAATATTTTTACCTTTTTGATTTACAGGAGTTTATGAATTTGTTCCTTTGGAACAAGGTGATGGATTTCGATTACAGATAAACGCTCAGAACTGTGTGCATTGTAAAACATGTGATATCAAAGACCCAAGTCAGAATATTAACTGGGTGGTGCCAGAAGGTGGAGGAGGACCTGCTTATAACGGCATGTAACAGAGCGCCTTCATGGACTGGCACATTTGACAGCCAGTTTCTATAAAACTGTAAATGTTTAGATAACTTCTAAACAAGTGTCCTTAAACACTATTGAAGGAGAAAACTTTATTATCTAAAGTTGCCCCATAAACTCATGAACTATTTCTCATAAATAAAACTTTACAAATAAATGATGTAGCATCTCACTTCCCAAGTCCTCTGAACACTCAGTACCGATGGGAGCTTGTCTCTTAGCTTCACAGGGCATTTGTCTTGTTAAACTTAAATCTTCAAATTTACAAACAAATGTGTATTCCAGACCAGGGACGGACATCCAGAACTAACCACAAAGTTTTACTGAAACACAACAATGCCCACTGGCTTGTGACAGGCTAGAGTAGTGGTTCTCAACCTTCCTAATGCTGTGACCCTTAAATACAGTGTGGTGATCCCAACCATAAAATTATTTTTGTTGCTATGTCATAACTATGATTTTGCTACTGTTATGAATCATAATGTAAATATCTGTGCTTTCCAATGGGTTCCACTGAGCCAAATGGTTCACAAAGCCTAAAACTTAATTTTTTTTAAAGGTTTATTTATTATATGTACGGTGTGTATATTATATATATAGCATGTGTGCCTGTGGGCCAGAAGAGGGCACCGGATCTCATTACAGATGGTTGTGAGCCACCATGTGATTGCTGAGAATTGAACTCAGGACCTGTAGAACAGCAAGTTCTTAACACTGAGCCATCTTTCCAGCCCCAAAACTTAATTTTAAGACTTTATAATTTAAACATTGGCCAGATACCATTCTTTATGAAAATGGAGACAGAATTGCATTTCATAACACTTTATTAAAGAGGAACCTACGACAGTACTTCTATGTAAACAGTGATGACAAAGAATCAGGGATCACAGGTAGACAGTAACTTATATTATCTTTTATATAATCAACAAGTAATGGTTCAGCACGGTTTAATTCTTTTTAGGCAAACATTTTTGCATACACCGCCTTCTCTTTATCTTTTTCTGCCTTTATCATTTGTTTGACTTTAAGCAATTCTGCCTGGATAGCTGGGGGAAGAAAGGCAACGAATTAATTCTCAAAGCATCTAAAAAACTAGAAAAACAACTAACAGTGTAGTCATAACACAGCTATCCCATGCCATGGCCACATTTTCAGCAGAAATATTTAGACCAGAGCCACTCGTCATCTGCTTTACCTCAGAGAAAGTTCCTATCACAGCTACTCGGTACCATACCCAACACACAGAATGTTTTGGTCATAGCCACATTCAGCTTAGGGAAAGAATGTCCCGAGCTTTAAAATTACAATGATTACTCCATCTTATATCTTACTGTTGACTTTTTGACTAGCATTGAGGTCACAGAACCTGCACCCCAACAGAAAGGGTCGTAGAAGCAGTATGAAGGTGTATTAAAGAGCTAGTAGTACACTCTTGAGCAGAATTAGAATGTAAGCTCTGCACAGGAGAGGGACGTGAATACTGGTCTATTTACTACACACTCAGTGCCTGGCCCAGTGACAGGCACTCTGCAGTATCTGAACAAATAAATACATCAAGGTTATGTGTTCATCACTTCATGAGGATCACCTCTGAAGGACAAATGAAGCTTCATGACAAAACCTGCCAGTTTACCTTTATCTCCTGGGGCTATCTCCTGCGCCTTCTTCAGATCAGCCTTTAATTGGGGGCAGAAAGGGGGAAAATTTAAGAAACATAAGACATTAGGACTTTTAAGGTGATTATCTATTATAAAACAATGAGACCAAAATTTACCAATGCTTGATCATATTCTTTTAATCCTTGCCATCCTTGCGCTTTGCGGTATAGTGCTTTGGTATTTGACGGGTCCATTTCAAGAGCCTATGGGAAGAAGTTATAAAAATCAATATTTTTATCTAAAAGTACCTGTTACTCCAGTGAGTTTACCGGTAGAGGGTGCTGAGTGGGTGTGGAGATGCTGCTCTGCACTGGTTTTTAGCTCTAGTGGACCCAGTTAGAAAACGTTTTAAATACAGTCGCCTTCTGATGCCGTCATTAACTCAAAGGCAGCCCAACACTTGAAAACCAAAATCCAGTGGTACATAAGTCACCCAATTGCCATATAACCACTTGTCCAACTATGTTTATAGGGAATGATGACAATAACATGTTTATCAGAGAATATTCCACCTGCAATTACATAATCTGAGAACACAGAATCCAAGGATGGGAGGGCAGTTATACTACAAAAATGAGCACCTTTTAACAGGTTTCTCCCCTGAAATAACATTTTTAAAGCAATATATTGTTTGCATGACAGCTCTTAAGAGAGCCAATACTGAGAACTTTTTTTTTTTTCAAGACAGGGTTCTCTATAGCTTTGGAGCCTGTCCTGGAACTAGCTTTTATACACCAGGCTAGCCTCGAGCTCAGAGTTCGCCTGCCTCTGCCTCCCAAGTGCTGGGATTAAAGGCGTGCACCACCACCACCCGGCGAGAATTTTTTCTTAAGATGGAGTATTACTACTTCCCAGGAAAAATGAAGCAGTCAAGAGTGGATATGTGAGCGAGCTTTCCTCTATTGCGTGTTCCCTTCTAACGATAACATTTCCTGTTATCACTCATCCCATCTACTTAAGCGGAAAGGCTGGGCCTGAAGGGCAGCCCTGTGACTATTATCCAAGTCCTACCACACCACTGAGCTGCACATGCAGGTCTCACTTTAGTTCCTGCTGAACACAGGTGCAAAAACAAAGATAGCCCTTATTAGAACAAATCTTTCTCTGTATCCCAGTGATAACCAGTCTCAATACCAAATAGGAACTGTCTCCTCACTGTGTCTTATGCCTTTTAATGCCTTTTGAGGATTGGGCTTTAAAAAAATAATAATAAAAGCCAGTGAGATGACTCAGTGGATAAAAGGCATTTGCACGCATGCCTGAACCGAGGCTCAATTGCTGCTATTCACATAAAAGTGAACACGCATTACGGTGCATGCACACCCAACTATAAAATTAAAATACACCAAGTACAGCATGGTGATAACATGTCTGATCCTAGCAACTGAAAACTGTCTTTGGGCCAGCCTGAAGTACATGAGACCCTGCTTCAAGAAGCCAAAACTGTACTTAGGACACACAGGTAGAAGAGAGTATCTACACACATGCTCTAGTTTCGTTTTTGAGCAGGGTCTCTCTCTCTCTCTCTCTCTCTCTCTCTCTCTCTCTCTCTCTCTCTCATAGCAAAGGACAGCTATGACTTTGTGATCTTCCAACCTCTACCTCTACAGTGCTGGGATTACAGGTGTGCGTGACCACACTCATACCTACATTCTTCATCATTCCTGGCTATGTTCATATATGTCTAGCCCGTAATACAAGTAAATAAGCAGATAAACACGCTTTGAGAAAGAAAAGCAGAATTCCTCGTTCATATTAGGTGACAATTAAAAGCAAGATTAATGAATTAGCAGAAAGAATTGAAAATCTAAAATTTCACTAGGTCCTAGGAAACTAAAATACATTAAGAACCATTGCCTTTTTCTAACTATTGCCCTGATAAATCAAAATCACACTCTTTCCAAAGGTTCACCATCACAAAGACTTACCTCCAAACAACTGTCAATCGCTCCCTGCCAATTTGACATCTTCAGCTTACAAGCACCAATATTCAGCACACAGCTTAAGGCTATAGGCTGCAGTCTGGATGAATCTGCTTTCTCAATAACAGCCTTTGAACTATCCACGTATCTAGAGAACATATTAATAAAGGCAACATGTAACTCCGCACCGCTGCTTCAGTATTATACCTGACACTTGACGACTCTTGTTCTTCACATGCAGGAAAGGAAACCCAGGGCTGTGAGCCTACTAAGCACACCTTCTTGCCACTGAGCTACACTCCTAGCCCTGCTTCTCCAGAGGATAGTTTTTAACATCAACTTCCCCCAATGGTAACAACGAACAATAACTCTCATATCTAACTATGTACAATCAGGTTCATATTATACGCCTTCTAATACAATTATGCTCCAAACCTGTATTCCTACATTAGGATGACTGAATTCAGTGGGAAGAGGCAATGCAATAATGTAGTGTTGATTCAAAATATTCTGTGTTTGACGCAGGTGGTCTCCAACATATACATGCACAAACACTCACACACAATTTTTAAAACACATAGCCAAAAGATGCCTCATAAAGAAAAATGAGCCTGAGACCCTGAGTTCAATCCCAGGATCCACACAGGAGAGAGACTGACTCCCACAAGTTGTCCTCTGACCTCTACTCATACGTGTGGCACGTGCATTCACACACAAGATATCCATTATAAACCGTTTACGTGAGTAAATAACAAAGACAGCGGAGGGGCCTGGCATGATGACTCTCACTCTGAATTCCAATGGGGGGGAGGGGGTTTCCACACAGAATAATAAGGTGGAACTGTGGTCTGAGGCCAGCCTCGTCTACATAGCAGGTTTCAGGCCAGACAGAGCTAAAAGCTCTGTCAAAAAAGAAAATGCGCCTGGCGGTGGTGGCGCACGCCTTTAATCCCAGCACTCGGGAGGCAGAGGCAGGTGGATCTCTGTGAGTTCGAGACCAGCCTGGTCTACAAGAGCTAGTTCCAGGACAGGCTCCAAAACCACAGAGAAACCCTGTCTCGGGGGAAAAAAAAAATGCCCTGGGTGCAATGATCAAAGAGCAGCATTATAGCCAAATACCTATCTTATATCTTAGTCTGCATGCTGAGCTGAGGGGAGGGGCTAAAACAGGCTATGTATTTGACATTGCTAATGCGGTCTTACTAAGTAAGTGATTTAGACCTCCTCTGCTCTTTAGCAAGTACATTAGGTGCTCAACTTAGGAGTATATATGCTATCTACGAGTTCTTTAGAGTTTGGCAAAAACAAGTTAGAATCTTTGAAAGGGTAAAAACATGTAATTGAGTCCCACTTCAACTTTTCTGGATTTTGAAATATTTCAAATAATAAAGGGCAACAAAAGAAATGTAATTCTTTTGGGGGATACAGGTTGTTGTTTTTTCAAGTCAGGTTTCTCTGTGTAGCCCTAAACTGCTAAACATGAGTCCGAGTCTTACCTCAAAATAATTGTTTATATAGTCTTAAAATTTATTAAAAATGTTTTATTACCTTAAAACCTTTGCATATTTTTTAACAGC